AATAGAAACATCACATGTTTGTGGAACAGCAGATACGTGTCTGATGACACTGCATGCACCATACATGCTCACTATAAATCTCGCTACATGTAAGGACCTCAATCACAAAGAGAAAAGCTCAACACATAAAACTCACATAACAGAAATCATAGATGTCATCAGTAACGCCATCTGCAGGAAAATCTAATTAATATTCCTCTTCTCAGTTCTTACAGCGCTTCCTGTGACCTAAAGTCTGTTGACGTCTCCAGACCAGCGCTAAAGAAGTGCTCCCTGATCTTTGAAAAGAAAAGCACTGTGAGTGTGTAAAGAAATCAAATTATTTCTGAGCCCCCGAGATAAAATCATATATCCTATATCTCAGTTTGTATTTTAATTAGAAGTGAGATCTAATATTCTACGGAAAGCCTCGGGGCAGTCACTGACTCCTTCCAAATAGTTTTTTATCCGGTCAATGTCAGAGATTATGTTTTCTGAAAATCCTGTGCATATGATGAGAGGGAAATCAGCTTGCATGTTTAAATTCGTACTATAAGCGCAGCTGCTAAGAGGTTGGTTTACTTTTCCCTGTTGTGTATTTGAAACTAAGGTGAAGTTTTTATGGCTTCTGTACAGACATGGAGCGGTCTCAGTAATGTCATTCTCAGCAAGAAAGCTCAAAAAATGTATAACACTCCTTTCAAATGTAACCAGTAATCTCATTAACTATTTTTACTAGATCTTCTGCTTGATGCACTCAGGTCATCCTCTGTCTAAAAGAAGCTTCATCTCTTCTCTTTATGCTGCTCTTTGTTTTTACCAACTCTATTATCTGATTGGATATTTGTGACTCCAATTGTTTTACTTTAAATCAAATTTGAAGTTTGCCAAACAAAAGACTTCTATATTGTTCTCACTCAATGTTTTCTAACAGTAAATATTTTTCAAACATTTTTTTCCAGTTTCAGTCTTTCCATGAGTTGTCCCTTAATCTGAGCTGCAACCAAATGAAGAGTGTAATCACTTCCTTCATGCCATCCTGTCACAGTGAGTGTAATCTACAGTATAAATACTGGCTCTTTGTGATTTACAGTGCGAGCTATTCGTGGTGAATTAAAACAACTGTGTGTGTGATCTTGCAGTAAAGGTGAATCCTCCTGCAGAGCCAAAAGTCAACTTCACGTCTGTTTCCTGGTTGTCCCAAGTCCCCAAACATGAAAGGATCAGTTCATACAGAAGTGAAGTCGAGTGGAAGAAGCAGGATCAGTCATGGAGTGTAAGTTTAGATTTTATGACACAATGTGAACAAGTTTAAGTATAAAGTTGAGATCATGAAAGTTCACATGTGAAACAAGATTCGTTCTCAACCCCGCACTGGTTTCTGTGTGTCAGGATCCTGCTGTGCACAGAAAACGTGGCATTCAGTGTGAGCAGGAGTGCAAGGCAGAGCTGGAGCCAGATTTGCTGATACAAGGCGAGAGGTACGAGGCACGAGTTCGTGTGCGGTCTATTTTTCGGCACCGCGAGGGAGCCTGGAGTGACTGGAGCCCCACTGCATCATGGGAGTCACCAGTAGGGAAAATAAAACCACCATCAGGTACATTTATCTCAAAATGTTTTGTTTAACATAACATACCAATGTCAAAATCTTTCCAATTCATTTATGCTGGGTGGCTGTAGCTCAGGTGGCAGAGCAGGTCAGCCACTAATCAGAAGGTCGGTGGTTTGATCCCAGGCTGCCTCCTGGCTGCATGCCAAATATCCTTGGGCAAGATACTAACCCCATGTTTGCCTACTGGTGGTGGTCAGAGGGCCCGGTGGCGCCAGTGTCCGGCAGCCTCGCCTCTGTCAGTGCGCCCAAGGGCAGCTATGGCTACAATGTAGCTTGCCATCGCCAGTGTGTGAATGTGAGTGTGAATGACTGAATGTAGTGTGAAGTGCTTTGGGGTCCTTAGGGACTAGAAAAGCGCCATACAAATGCAGGCCATTTACCATATGCTGAGCATGATTACTGCAGTATGGAATAATTATGTATATGGGAAAATGTTTGAAGTGTGTTGGTGTATAATACACAGCATAGAGGGGAAGAAGCCATTGTGAAAAATGTCCAATGCTGTATGTGGCAGGAGTTTGGTCCCTGGCTCAGCTGCAGGGTAGACGTGGTGCAGTGAGCTCAGGGGGCAGTACTGGGATGCAGGTGAGCCACAGATGGTGGCGATTGACTGATGACGGTGTCTCTTTTTGTTTCTCAAGTGCCGGTGTCCTGCAGGTTTTAGACACAGCTGATTCAAATGGCTAAATTACCTCCTCAACATGTCTTGAACTTCTCCAGAGGCCTGGGAATGAACTAATTATTAGATTCAGGTGTGTTGACACAGGGTGATATCTAAAACCTGCAGGACACCGGCAGTCGAGGCCTGTAGTTGCCCACCCCTGCTCTATATAGTGAAGGCAGATTTGAGTGGGGAGGAAAGAGAAATGAACTGGAACAGACTGTTTTCATTGAGCACACAATAGTCAATAAAAAGCAATAATAGTGAGCACATTTACTGTGTGTGTCGTGTACGTTTACACTGTAATTTAACTTGCAACCTTCAACATACAAGGGAGAGGTGAGAGAGAGGGCTGGCTCTCCATTCAAGGTCAATAGGACTTTGTCACCAGAAAAAGTGAAATATTTCATAAACAAAGAAATAGTAGCCGGTTGTTATGAGGTAAGAGTGGTCTGTCTACAACAATCAGAGTGAGACTTGTTAGCCACCAAAGAAGAAGAAAAATGGCAGACAACAATAACACATACTACCAGTAAAATATCAACCAGTTACAACTGCATTAATTCTCAGATTCAAAAGCATCAATGTCCACATCTGGACTGTTTCCTTGAGTTGATGAAAGTGTTTAGTTTCCATTCGGTAGTTTTTCATGGGAACATAAAATATGCAGTCCATATGGGGCACCAGTGCAAGGCCTTGAATGGGCTAAAAACCAAAAGAGACTTATCATAGAGGTCCTACAACACTTAGAG